ATGTCTGCTATCAGGGGTAGCTATAGGAGCCATATCCTTCGTGATGTAGTAACAGATGGTGTCAGTTCTTTCCATCTTCCTAAATCCTTTTCAGACTGTGTAGCATTTGTAAATGCTTGTGTTATCAACACCTGTTTTGTGGAGGCACTTGTTGCTGGTTGCTTATCAGTCTCTTTTTTTGAGCCATGCACTCAATTCAATTCAAGTTTATTTGTATAGCGCTTTGACGATACAAATCGTTGCAAAGCAACTTTATAGCGTTTCTAAGATGGAAGAATGCTGTTTTTGTAACATGGGAAATATGATTTTCAAAATAAAAGTTGCTGTCTAATATAACACCCAGATTTTTTTTTTAATAATATTACCAAGGGGCAACATGTATATTGAAAATAGCAGAGGACCTAGGACAGATCCTTGTGGCACTCCATATTTTACTGGTGATAATTGAGATGACTCCCCATTTAAATCAACAACGTGGTAGCGATCGGACAGGTAGGATCTAAACCATCTTAAAGCCTGCCCTTGAATACCTGTATAGTTTTGTAATCGATCTACGTCATGATCTATAGTGTCGAACGCAGCACTAAGATCAAGTAAAACTAGCAATGAAAAAGTCATTTGTAATAATGCACTGTTTAATGCACTGCTCATATTTGCTTACGTGATTGCGCTCCAAGTGTTGAAATAGATTGGAGGTATTACCTTTGGTTGTCCTTTTTTTTCTGCCGTGTTTACATTTGACTTAATTTTGTTTAGTGTCTACTTTACTGAAGCCAAAATTCATTTTCATTCAATGAATGCATGTGACACTCGAGCAGCTCCATTTATAAGTCAAACTGAAACTTGCTGTGGTTGGATTTCTTTAGATCTGGAAAGAAATGGAGTTTCATCTGCTGGTGGACAAACAACTTGTGCATGCAAATCTATAACTGGACATGTGGTTAATGTGTGTTAGTCGGTGAATAGTGTGTGTGGGAGCGAGTGAGTGAGCAGCATACGGTTGAAAGCACTTCCACAATTTAACTTCCTTGTTTTTATTGTGAAATAAACTGATTCTATAAATGCTCATGCTTGATAAAAAAGATTCTGTCAAATCAAGCCATTACTGTAAAATATGAACATAGGCATATCATATGTGTATGTGATATATTAAGAATGATATTCTAATTAATAATTTTAAGAACAAATGCAACACCTGACAAGCTGTAAAACTTTATGGTATATTTTTTCATTTGCATGATCGTTGTTTTCAAAATAGTGAAGCTTTCCCAGTAATATATATATATATATATATTACCACTACCTCAATTTATTCACAACCACATGATGTCATGTAACAGATCACTCTATTTAAAACGGTTTTCATCAGAAAGTTTAAAATGCAAGTCTATTTTAAGAGCCAAAAATAAATAAATAAATTCCAAAAAACCCATGACCACATTTAAATGGCCGTAAATGGAAACGTGTTTTTTGTCTGCAAAAATGGTATAATTACGGCATCTTTGCTAACAAGGTCATATTAACCAGCTAAACCGTGACCGCTGGATATAATACCATGGATTACATTGTTAGACTAGCGCTCTCTAGTGTTCACAACAAGAATTCACCTCTACAAAAATAGGGGGCGTTTATATCTCTCTCAATATTTATTCATAACCTGATAAAGACGTTCTTCATCACTGACAGAAAACAGAATAAAATTATATATTTTGGTTCAAATGACAGCAGGTAAGGATTCACTTCATTAAGCCCTCTTTTTGTTCTCTACATTAAATAAAGTAACACGTTACTTTTGAGAAGCTGCTCCAAACGATTCAGTGGATCAGTGAGCTGTTTAATTCAGACTGGAACGCGAATGATTCATTTTAACCCGTTTGACCAATTCATATGGAAAAGATTCGGCTCAAAAGAGTGATTCATTCACAAATCGCTGGTTCTGATTCTGAACAGCCAACAGAAAATACCCGACACATGATGATTAGGCCTACCTATAAATGCCAAGTAATTAAATAACTCACCTACAGTAAAAACACCTACAGCTGTGTATTCAACAATCCCATCAGCTACCAGACCACACATTATTACATTTACATTTAGTCATTTAGCATACGCTTTTATCCAAAGCGACTTTTAATAAATAAAAGAAAAATAGTAGATATAATAGCAATAGAATAGAGAGTGTTAGAGGGTCAAGTGTAGATGGAGGAGATGTGTTTTTAGTTGTTTCTTGAAGATGGCTAAGGACTCAGCTGCTCGGATTGAGTTGGGCAGGTCATTCCACCAGCAGGGAACAGTTAATGTGAAAGTCTGTGAAAGTGATTTTGTGCCTTTTTGGGATGGCACTATAAAGCGCCGTTCACTTGCAGAATGCAAGCTTCAGGAGGGCACATAAGTCGAATTAATTTAGGTAAAGGGGTGCAGAGCCAGTGATGGTTTCATATGCAAACATCAATGCCTTGAATTTTATTTCATCTGGAGACATCTGAACATCAGCAAACTCTGTCACACCTGTGCAGGTACAGGTGCATCTCAATAAATTAGAATGTTGTGGAAAAGTTCATTTATTTCAGTAATTCAACTCAAATTGTGAAACTCGTGTATTAAATAAATTCAATGCACACAGACTGAAGTAAAGTCTTTGGTTCTTTTAATTGTGATGATTTTGGCTCACATTTAACAAAAACCCACCAACTCACTATCTCAACAAATTAGAATACTTCATAAGACCAATAAAAAAAACATTTTTAGTGAATTGTTGGCCTTCTGGAAAGTATGTTCATTTACTGTACATGTACTCAATACTTGGTAGGGGCTCCTTTTGCTTTAATTACTGCCTCAATTCGGCGCGTCGTCTGAGTCCTTTTTAATTAGTGTTGTCCGGTATTGTTTGTCAACTCCCTTGTGCTACGTGTGATTCCCCGCGATTGAAATAAACTCCTTGGTTTGTACTCCTGGTTTCCTCGTTCCGTGCTCCTCACAGTAGCAACCCATGACAGTATGTTAGGTAATTGTATGTTATGTTAGGGTGTATGTTTATCTGGTGGCCAATCCTTTACAACTTCATTTTTTTCTTACCTGCCATGAATTTTATATTTCTTTTTCAATTACATGGTTTTTAAGTCATTTATGTTGCTTTGCATCATTGCCATTTTGTACAGTTTTAACTGTACGCAGCAACAATGCAAATGCGTTTGCAACATCAACAGTAACGCCATTACACACCTTAAAATTCAAACTAAAAATTAAACGGCACCTACCAAACTGATACACATGAATCATATACAGGCCTATATTTTTAATTGAAGAGGTGTCACAATATCAACAATTCTAATTAAATGATTCCACTGATTTAGTCTGTACCAGTTGGTCAAAGAAGATGTTTTACATTATTTTTTTAACTCCATGAATTATAATAGTTATTAAAAGCCTTCTCTCCTGATTGTAAGGTGGCATCCTACCCCAAGGGTCTTAACCTTTCATTACGGACATAAAATTGTTATTTTGTGAATTATAACACATTTACAGCATTTACCCAGTTTATTGTAAAACCACAAAGACAGAGTAAATAATGTACACCTCATAATACAGTACTAATACAAGTTTGTTAAGAGTGCAAAAGTGATTTTTCCAGTGGGCTTTGGAAGTATTTTCCCATTTATTTTGTCAATAGAGATTTCACAAAAATAGTTCTAAGCCATGAATCAAATCATCAACCTCCAATATGAATCACATAATTACAGACTTCAGGTTTAATCAAAGAGAGAGAGAGAGAGTAAAATACTGTAAACTTCATTTTTGATGGAAGGAGTGTGTGTGCGCGGGTTTTATCTTACATTGTACTTTATTTTGTTACTGATGAGTCTGTGGTTGAAAGTATATAATTGAATGATATAAAATTATTTAATTATAATGATATAATTTTTTTGTGCAAAGACTAGAAAATTATCCATCAAAATACAAAACCTGTTGAACAACTATCTATTAACAAGAAGTCAGAATGCCTTGATCATCACACAGCTAAAATTATCCACAGTGGCTGTTAAAATTGCAGATAATTTCAGATCTTTTTCCACCTTCAATGCAGTATTAAAAATGTATGTATGCAACAAACAAAAAGAAACTTTAAAGAAGAAAGAAGAACCTAATCAAATGACCTGGTTGCATAAGAGTGCACACACTTTTATAATGGGGGATGGGTTACTGGTGAATTAACCAATTAAATTCAAATTCTTACTAAAGAATTATGCTGTTTTCAGCTCTAGTTTCGCAGTTTAGCGACCCCTAGTGGTGACATGTCTATATTTAAGCAGAGCATGTGCTGTTCAGCCATGATGTTGTGAGGTGTTTGAGAGGGCACACAGACGATACCAATCTCCATCCACACTTCATTTATTCTTGGAAATTTGATGTCATACACCGATCGGTCTGCACACGCAAACAAAGCCAAAACCTAGATATTTTAGGCAATATAGAAATCCTGGCCAGGACGCGTCCTGGGAAAATGGCACGTATGGTCACCCTAGTGTACACATAGTGACGGCAATAAAAAATAATTAAAATCCTCTAGTTATAATTGTAAGTGATGTTGATTAACCCTGAATAAAAAAACAACAACAACAAACAAAAACATTTCTGTAAGATTTTCTCAATATATTCTTGGTTGCATCTTATTGATGAAGCCATGGCCTGCCAAGAGCTTACAAAAGATGCATTGGGGATCTTGTTGTGAAAAGGTAGGAATCAATCAGGAAAAGGGTGCAAAAATATTTGCAAAACAGGTGCCATGGAATACATGTGAAGGTAATCAACAAGTGGAGACAATAGGGTACAACAATGACATTCAAGAACAGGAATAACAGGAAAAACAAAATGAAAATGCATCAAAAAGGTTGCCAACAGATTTATGTAACATTTGCACTGAACGCGCTCTCCTCCACATCACGAGTAGACACGCCCCTTATTGCTGATTGGCTACAAGTTTGTTTTGCGATTCGGCCCGAATCAGTTTTCTAAAGTGTTTTTGAAAAATCACATACCCTGCCTTTAAGTGCCACATTTTTAGAATGCCATGCTGTGAGCAAGATGTTGCAAAAGACGCGAGCGCTGCAGTTAAACACGTCTGTCTAGCATGTGATTACATAGAAAAACAATCAGAAAGTACCGCAGTGGAATGGAAAAACACGTTCTGTGTGAAAGGCCCCTGAGACTACCTTAAACTGTGTTACTGTCTGATGAAACCAAATTACAGACCATTTGGCACAAAACCTGCAGGCCTCCATTAAAATCTGAAGATGAAGAAGATTTTAAGTCAATAAAGGAATGGCTTCAGAAGAGGAAAGGTTGAGTCTGAGGCCAGGCCTAAATCCAATCCAAACACTTGAGGAATGTCTCGAAGAGGGCTGTAGACAGGAGATCCCCTACAATATGATCAGTCTGGAGCTCTTTTGCAAGGAAGAGCAGTAAAAATAGCCGAATCAAGATATATTCAAAAAGACTGGCTGCTGTATTAAATGCAAAAGGTGTATCATCCAAATACAGTACAGGCTGAAGTGCATTTCTGCTGATTTATGTCAAGGGAATCTTCTTGTGGGACCAGATGAAGTGTCCTGAAAAAATAAATAAAATCATAATTAAAAACTAATTTTGCACATTAAATGATATTTTTCTCTCATTATGATATCTGTAGGTGATCGATCACACCTCCTGCGGCGATAGCAAATCACACCAACTGCTGCAGACGCCAGCAGAAGAACAACACATATTCCTGCTACAGCAGCTGGAGACGGACCTGAATCTGGAACAGATAAAGACAGACAATCATTAGTGTGTAAGACTGATCTATAGCCTTGTTCAGACTGGCTTGTGTGGCAATGGCGTTGCATTGGTATGCCTACTCTAAAACAATAACAGCAACACAATCTTATGAGGCAGCAGCAGAAACACAGAAAGCTGGAATGCGCCGATCACAAAACTCAAAGATGTGAGTAGACCAGCAGTATATTGTCATTTTCCGCTTGAATTGCACTTCACAACAACACAACCTTGTTTCCGCAAAGACATTCAGGATGTTTCTACAAACAGCGTCTGATGTGTTTACGTTTTACGTGGCGTGAGAAAGTCACGTGGGCAAAAAAGCTATGCTAAATCCTAAATGCGATTTGAATGGGACTTTAAACCACATACAAATGTAGCTTGAAACGGATTTGTAAAAATCGGATTTCATGTGATTTCACACTTGCTAAATATGATCGGATTCCAATCGGATTTGGACTGACAGTCTGAGCAAGGCTTACAAGACATTAAAGGTCTGAGAGAGTAAATATGAATTTAATACAGTTTAAAGTGTCACTGTTTCATACACTACAAAATATAATGAATATTGTTAATGAACTTCATCAAAACTCTTTTTGTTTATTGTGTGTGCTTCATACTTGTGTTTGGAGTTATAATGGAGCATAATGTTCATCATTAATTCTAGTGGGAACTGTTCATGCAGAATATTGTCTTATATGGGGCACATATTGGTGATGCACATGATACCTCGTGCCATGTGCCAACAGCGCCATCTTTAGAAGCACATATGCTGCTGATGGGGTCTGTTGTGCTTTCTCTCGCTCTTCAAATGAGAGTGCTGGTAAGGACATTCCTCTAAGTGTAAACGATGTCATCGATTAATTTCATGAGATAAATAATGTTTAAGTAATGAGACTGTGATGTCATGAAATTTAATGCAATGAATTGCATTTTGAATGTTTTACTGAGATTGGTTTTGCTTACCAGCTTTCTCCATGCTGTACGGGCAGACTGAAGGGGAGAGGTGTATCCCAAAAAAGTTTAATTGTGCTCTGTGTGTGTTTCTGCAGAATAAAACATCTTGAGACTTCCTCCACCCGCATTGTCTTTGAGAACAACATAACACAACCAGAGTAAATCTGCTACACTGGGTTTGTCCCTATTTTACCCAGCACTGGGTTGTATTTAACCCAGCATTTTTTAGAGTGTACAGTGACATCAAAGGTACTTCAGAACCAAGTTGTCAAGGTACTAAAATAAAAATATGTAACAATATCATGTTTCTCTATATTCCTCTGTAAGAGTCCAAATAGCTGAATGACTAAATTACACTTACTAATGACAGTAACATCGAAGCTCTTTACACTGCTGATGCTGTGGCGACGACGACGGCTGCTGCTGCTGCTGCTGATCTGTAGTTCATAAACTCCAGAGTCTGTGATTCTGATGTTCCTGATGGTCAGAGATCCAGTCTGATGATCCAGCTTCAGTCTGTGTCTGAATCTCTCAGGACAATGAAAATCTGTGCAGGTCTTATTGGGATCTCCAGTAATTTGAGCGATGCGCGTGTCATTAAAATACCACGTCATCACATGATTTGGGTTTTTCATTACAGCAGGATCTAAAGTGACAGATTCTCCCTCCTTCACTGACTTTCTCTTCATTTCATCTCGTTCAGCAGCAGAAACACCTGAAACACAAACCAACAGCTGCTGGAGGATCTTTTTTGGGGAAAAAAAACATGAAAATAAATGTCCGAATTGTATGTTCAGTACAGCAACATTTATTTGTAGGGGGCGCAAGCACCAACGACGGCGCTTTAATAAAGTAACGCACTTTTTTTGCTTGTCACTCTAGAATGGTAGGCTATAAAAAGATGCATTCAATTGCACTGGAATCCTTCAGATCCCACACATAACCAGAGAAATCACATGGTCGAGCATATCTCTATTTCAGCAAGTAGACTAGTCTACCATTTTGACGAAAGAGTTACTTTTTTGAACCTGTCCCAAGCCATTTGTCCAATTTAAATGAAATTTGGCATTATCCAGGTACTGTCCAGGGAAAATGTTGCTCAAAGAATTTTGTTTGTTAAGTTTTTGGAACTTCTGTTTTTTTTTGTTTTGTTTTTTTGTTTGTGTGAAATCAATCTCCTAAGGTAAGTAGTGCTATAATCTAAGCAAATTCAAAAAAAGTTGAATTTCAACAAAAAAGTCCACAGAGTACAGTAATTAAATGTGGCTTTTTTTGGTCCTGTTTGCGTCAAATGTGCTTGGATTGCTAATGAACTAGGAACCCATGAGTATAAAATATCAGATGCATTTAAACAGAAGATAAGAGTAGGTGATCAGATGTGGCATGATGATAAACTGACTTCTCCACCAGAACACAACTGGAGCTTCTTTTGCCTTTATTTATTTATAGAGTACAGTATGGACAACAGACAGGTGAAGTGGGAGAAAGAGGGGGACGAGATTGAAAGGACCACAGTGTAACTTCCAAACTAACTGTTAAATCTATCGACTTGCCAATGGAAAGACAATTTTGATTTAATTTATACTGTTATGATGCAGCTAAAGAGAAAATCTAAAAGCTTTTAAACATGTATAACCTTAATTTAAACATTTGTTAAATTACTCACCACGGACAGAAACGCTGAAGGTCTTTTCACTGATGCTGCTGCTGCTGAAGATCTTCAGTTGATAAACTCCAGCATCTGAGGTTCTGGTGTCTGTGATGGTCAGAGATCCAGTCTGATGATCCAGCTTCAGTCTGTCTCTGAATCTCTCAGTGCCTTCATTACACTGAACATCTGTGCAGGTCTTATTGGGATCTCCATTAATTTGAGCGATACGAGTCTCATTGAAATACCATCTAATTCTGTCTTCTTGGGCTTTTTTAATTCCAGTGTGTAGAGTAATTGAATCTCCCTCCATCACAGACACCAACACTCCATCTGTCTCAACACCAGACACACCTGACAAAAATCAACAAACTTTTCATTTTTGGGATGATGGGAAAAAATATACAATAGCAAAAAAGTGCTGTGGACAAGCAAAACACCCTAGCAACCATTTAACACCACCCTAGCAACCATCCAGAATACCCTAGCGACACTTTATCATCCACCTAGCAAAACTTTATCAACCGCCTAACA